AGGGGAAGATTGATTCACTCAATCTCCAATCTGGACAGATGAGCCCCAAAGACAGATGGAGCCTCCAAGCACAGAGGATAGTGCCAGGATGGGGCAGGGAGGAATTCAGCTAGGGTGTGAGAAAGCATTTGATTCCACGTTGGACACCAGGCACCAGGACTGTTCATCTTGGGTCACCCCATGAAAGATGTGGAATGGGTCCCCAGGCCCAATAACAGTGTGTTATCCCCAGAGTCGGTCCCACAACTCTACCCAATGACCATGAGGAGGAAGAAGGAGGAGAAAGGGGAGAGGGAAATGTGGGGAGACAAAGGCATGAGAGAAGAGCCTGGAGCAGGTGGGTCCCCATAGCAGAAGACTAACAGGTCAGGGGATTCCCTCGGGGAGAATATGCATTTCTACCCCAATATTGGTGACCTGGGACAAAGGCCTAGCCACCCACCCCTAGCTGTGGGGCTGGAGTCCAGGCTCTGCTGCTTCCTATTTCTGTGAGCTTGGGCCATCACTTAACTTCTCCATCAGTAAAATGAGGGGGTTGAACAAGATAATCTCTTCCAGCCCCCAGCTATGATCTCATCAATTAGTCACTCCACAAGCATTTATAAAGAGTTTACTGGCATGTTGCTAAGTGCTAGGGACACAAAAGAAAGGACAAAGCGTGACCCCTGCCCTCAAGGACCTTAGGGGAAATAAAGTGACAGAAAAAAACCCCCAACTATGTGTACGTACAAGAAGGTGGCAGTATAAATGACAGAGAATCTCAGAAGGCAGATACTAGCAGTGGGGAAGAGACTCAGAAAGGCCTCCTGCAGAACGTAAGATTTGAGGGGAATTCTGAAGGAAGCAGGAAGATGGAGAGGAGAAGGAAGAGCATTCCAGGCATGGGTGACAGCCTAAAAAAGTAGTTAGAGTTGGGGCGAGGCAGAGTCCTGTGCAAGGAACAGCACGGAGGTTAATGTCACTGGATCAGAGGATGGGGTTGGGGGGGGAGGGAAGGAAAATGGAGGAGAGGCAGGCTATAAAGGGCTTGCTTTACAGATCAAACAGAGGATTTTGTGGTTGATCCTGGAGATAAGAGAGCCATTAGAGTTTGAGTGGATTGGAAATGAGGTAGTCAGACTGGAGCTTTGGCATGATCATTTTGATTATCCCAGTCAAGGATGAGCTAGAGTAAGGTGAGGCTTGAGGCAAGAAGCCCCACCAGAAGGCTGTTGTAACAGTCAAAGTATGAGATAATGAAGGCCTACAACCAAGATGGCGGCTGTGTCAGAAGAGAGGAGGGCACACATAAGATGCTGCAAGAGTTGAAACAAGATGGCAATGGAATGGAGAGGAGGGAAGGAGGAGTACGGGAGAATGGCATCAGTTTTTGAACCTCGGTGACCTCAAAGTTAGTGGTGTCCTGAACAGTGATAGAGAAATCAGGAAGAGGGAAGGCCTTGGTGGGAGGTGCAACGTAATGAGCTTCTTTTTAGACGTGTTGAGTTTGAGATGCTTAGGGCCGTCCTATTTGAGATATCAAGGCAGTGGGAGACATGGAACGAGCTAGCATGATGAGATGTCATTTCACAAATGGACTGAGAAATCATAGACCTCTTTGGAGGCTCCATTGGAAAGGCTTAGAAGGTGAAAGGATAGGGGCAGCTATGTGGCCATGGGGATAGAGCTCCAGCCTTGGGGTCAAGGAGACCTAAATTTAAATCTGGCCTCAGACACTTGACACTTACCACCTATGTGACCCTGGGCAAGTCACTTAACCCCCATTGCCTCACCAAAAAAGAAAAAAAAAGGTGAGAAGAGAAGGGACATTCCAAGCCATGGTGCCAGCCTTGAAGGCTGGACTCCACCTCAGAAGCTCCCTAGTGTCATTGGTTTATCTGCTTCCAGTTCATCCTCTGTAAAATAGGTTTAAATGAGATAACTTTTATCAAGGTCTTTGAAAACCTCTAAGTTTACTTTCCATCTATTATTTTTCCACCTATTCTATATCTGGTAAGTTAATGAATTCTCTCCCATCAGACTGTGAGCTCTTTGAGGGCAGGGACAGTGGTTTGCTTGTTTGTTTTTGTCTTTTGTTGTGTCCCTAGAGCTAAGCAGGAGCCTGGGACTTAGTAGGTATTTAAATGTTTGTTGACTCACTCACTGACATCAAAATCTTACATAGAGGTCAGCTCTTATTGTCATCATTATTATTAACCCTCTGAAATTCATGAGAGTGGGGAGAAAGGGGAGAATCAAGGGATCTTGGGCAGAATCCATCCATTCCCCTCCCAAATCCTCAGGAAGCTCCACAGGGCAGTACATTCCCACTTGGGAGCTCCTCTAATTAAAATTGGTCTCTGGACGAGGTCTAAATGAGTCTCCCTGGGATGCCCATCAATTGGGGAATGGCTGAGCAAGTTGTGGTATATGAATGTAATGGAATACTATTGTGCTATAAGAAATGATGAACAGACTGACTTCAGAAAAACCTGGAAAGACTTATATGGTCTGATGCTGAGTGAAGTTAGCAGAACCAAGAGGACTCTGTACACAATAGCAGCCACATTATGGGATGACTGATATTGCTAAACTGAACCCTTCTCAGCATTACAAGGATCTAAGACATCTCCAGAGGCCTCGGGATGGAAAATGCTGTCCACATCCAAAGAAAGAACTATGAAAGTTGAATCACTATCACTTATTTTTACCTCCTGTTGAGTTTTGTTTCATCTTTCTGATGGTTCCTCCTATTGGTTTTAATTTTTACTTACAACTTCACTAATGTGAGAATATGTTTAATAGGAATGTAAATGTAAAGCCTATATAAGATTGTGCCCAGTCTTGGGGAGGGTGGGGCGGAGGAAGGGGGAGAAAAATTTTCAACTCAAAAGCACATGGAAGTGATTGTTGATAAATCAAAATAAATTAATAAAATTTAAAAAATAAATAAATGAATGGATAGATAGATAGATAGATAGATAGATAGATAGATAGATAGATAGATAAATGAGTCTCCCTGGAATGTTAAGCTATTGTTCCTAGACCTGCCCTCTGGGGTCAAGCAGAGTAGTGTAATCCATCTTTCCGAGCCAGCAGCCCATCCGTGCTGTCTGGCTCTCTCTCTGAGGCTTGTCTTCCCCTAAAGGCTAATTGTGAGGCTAAACACTCCAGTTTCCTTCGGGGAAGCTTTGTGAGGCATGTGATTTAGTAGTGACAGAACTACTTTGGAGCCCGGACCACCAGGGTTCAAGTAAACGCGGCCTCAAGCACTCTCTGTATGACTGCACAAATTACTTCACCTCTCTGATGAAGTCTCAGTTACCTCATCTGTAAAAACAGAAGTGGGCTGGACTCTATGACCTCTAAGGTCCTTTACAGCTCTGCACCTCTGAGCACTCTGTCCACCCCTCTGGTTGCCAATCGGCAGAGAGACTGGCCTTATGATTTCATCAGGAAAAGATAGGACATGGAAGAAGAGATTAATGTGCTTAGGCTTATTGGCACCTCCTCTGCAATGTCTGGTCTTGGGGGCACTGCCTGGGACATAAGGTGGTTAAGTGAATTTGCTGGCCTCTGCCAGAGAGGGGACTTGAACCCTGGCTGACTCTGTCCTTCTCATGAGACCAAGAAACAACGTGGCCCTCCAGCTGTGGTCTGCCCAGGGCAGAGGGGACTGCAGGACGGTCCCGTCCCTCCATCATCAGGACACATCAGGTTTCTATAAATGCAGCCTCAGCCCTAATTAGCTTTTTTTGGCCTCTTGAGTCCTGTGGATGACTCAGATGTAGCTCAAACAGCTATGGTTTCGGTTTCACTTCTCAGGCTGGGATGGGTGACAAGGGAGGAGGCAAAGGAAAAGTTAGCTCATAGGAAGATCATAATATGTAGACAGGGGAAAAGACCTTGGAGATCACCCAGCCCGAAGCCTTTATTTTACACGAGTGGAAACCAAGGCCCACAGAGGGGAAGTGACTTAACAATGACTCACATTTATAGAGAGCTGTAAAGTTTACAAAAGGGCTTCCCTCCCAACCATTGGTGAGGTAGGGAGGGCATTATTATCCCCATTTTATAGGTGAGGTAACTGATGCTCTGAAAGGTAAGTCACCCAAATGGTATTCAAACACAGGCTTTGACTATATCCAGGGCTCCAAATGGACTCTTTCTCTGTCCTCATTTCCCATTCTCACTAACAGCTGCATCCTGGACTTGGCCCTTCTAGTCCCTGAGACCATCCAAGATGTCGCTCCAAAAGGCCTGCATGGAGTAAAAGGCAAGCCTTCTGAAGCTCAGTTTCCTCACTTGTAAATGAAGGGGTTCACAGACTCATAGATTTAGAACTGGAAGAAATCCTAGAAGTTATCAGACAGAAACAGACTCAGAGAGAAGCTGTGTCTTGTCTAAGGTCACCCAGGTCCAGATTTGAACCCAGATTCTTTGACTCCACATTCAGCCTTCCCACTGGTCTTGGGGTTCATCCAGATAATCTCTCAAATCCCTTTCAATTCCAGCTTTTTGGTTGGATTCTCCCTTGGTATTCAGGTCAGAATTGGGAAGTGGCTGGAAGGAGCTGCCTGGTTTTCTCTTAGCAATCAGAGAATGCTTTGGGGAACAGTGTGTCCTTTAAGAAACTCAAATTCAACATGTCTAAAATAGAACTAAATGTCTTTCCCCTGAAAACCACCCCTCACAGAGGAAATATTCCGCAACATAAAGACTGCTGGATGCTTGGTCAAAGGACCTGGATTCAAATCCTGGCCGGGTCACTCACCCATGTGTCCTGAAGCAAGTCACTTAAACTGCTGGCCTCTAGTTTCCCCATCTGTAAAATGGGGGGGCAGGAGTTGGACTGGATGACCTTTCAGCTCTGATCTGTGACCCTTTGTTCAACCTTGAGTGAGTGACTTGAGATTCTTGGGTCTCAGTTTCTTCATCAGTAAAATGAGGTTAGCCCTCTGGTTAACCTCCTAGGTCCCATCCACTTCTTACATATGTGATAAGCCTCATTTGGAGTTAATGTTATTTAATAAAGTGGCTTCCCCCTCCCTTTTCCCCAATTAAACCTCCAGGCCTGAGGACCATGTTCAGAAGCACGTTTTGTCCGTGGAACATTTGCCCTTCCCCCATTGCACGGCTGAGCAAAAGTCCCGGGGATGAGGAAATTCAAACATCTCCCAGGAAACATCCCCCCTCCCCCAACCCGCGCAGGAGAGAGCCCGGGTGAGGGGGGCAGGCCACGATGGAGTCCGGTCCCGGCCCGAGAGCGAGGCGCGGCTTGGGCCCAACCGCAGGCGCCCTCCTCCCCTCCCGGGCGGGCGCCGCTCCGGCCCCGAAGACTTTCCGCCCCCATCCTCGCTGGCCGGCTGCACGAGAGCCGCGGCGTTCCAGGCGCGATAGTCACCATGGAGACGGTGACGTCACAGAGGCATAGTGATACAGGAGGTTTGGGGCGCGGCGGCGAGGGACCCGTTGCTAGGAGACGCCGGGAGCGAAACCAGCCGTTGGCAGGCATCCCACGCCGCCGCTTCCGCTGTCCCCGGGAGCCTGGACACGCCGTTCTGTCCTGTCCTGTCCTGCCTGTCCTGTCCCCGCGCCGCCATCCCTGGGCCCTGGCAGCCTTCGTCATCCGCCTGGGCGCCGAGCCCTTGTTTGGCACTCAGCGCCGCATTCCTGCCAGAACTCATCCCCCGCAAGGGACAGGACGTCCAGGGAGTTGGGTTCGAATGCTGCCTCTGCCTCATGCTGGCCGTGTGTCCCAGGGCAAGTCACTCGTCCTCTGTGGGCCTCAGTGGCCCCATCTGCTAAAGGAGCAGGCTGGAGGATAGGATACTAGCCGGAGGGGACCTTGAGCTCCATCCGGCCCATTTTACAGGAGCGGTGAACTGACCACCCAGGTAAGTAACAGAATCAAGATTCAAACCTAGGACTTAGTACTCCAAACCTAGAGGGAAAGTGTTCTGCCCGGTTGGAAATATGACTGATTTTTTGGATAATCGGCAGAATGCTAATTAAGGCGAGGCTGAGATACCCCTCCCTCCCGTCCAGTCCGTAAGTCTGGAGACTTAAAGAGACTCTGTAAAGTATATTGTCAGGCTGCAAAAAAAGAAAAAGAAAGACAGAAAGAGAGAAAGGAGAGAGGGAAGGGGGGAGAGAGAGAGGGAGAGGGAGACAGAGAGAGAGAGAGGAGAGGGAGAAAGAAAAAAAGAACAAGAAGTAATGAGCAAAGAGGTAGGAAGTGAGGCAAGCATTTGTGGAAACAGACCCACCGACCCCAAAAGGGAGCTGAGGAGTGGCGGGGGCTGAAGGAGATCTGTTTATAGGTTAGAGGGGACTTTTATTAAAAAAAAAAAATAGAGCTGCTTCACACTAACAAAGGTTTGGAGCTAGAAGGAATCAATCTTTAAAATCAACAATCCCCTCCTTTTACTGATTTGCAGAAACTGGAGCCCCGGGAGGTGAAATAAGTCATTAGGTGGAGAGCCCAAAAGGGACTTCAGAGGCTATCTTGTTCAACTGTCCCCTTACAGATGGGGAAACTGAGGCTCAAGGAGACTGAGGGACTTGGCCATAGTGTGCTTACTCAGCTACTTATTGAGGGTCATAAAACCATAGATTTAGGATTGGAAGGAGTCTCAGATTTCATCTAGCCCAAGGAAGAAAGGAAGGAAAGAAGGAGGGAAAGAAGGAAGGAGAGACATACTGTGATACAATGAGAAAGAGCTCTGGAATCAGAAGGAACTGCGTTCAAATGCTGCCAGAGATACTGTACTTCCCTGGCAAAGGAGTAATATTTATTAATAAAATATAACACAATAAAAATATGACATACAATGATAAATATACACCAATGTAATAATCAAATAAAGCCTGGTACTGTTCATTAATAGGCATTGATAAGTGTTTCTTGACTGACCACTCTGCCTCCCTTTCCAACTCCCGTCTGAGGGCAGAGACCGACTTTCTTTTTCCATTTGTGACCTTGGAACTTAGCACAGCACTTGGTACATATTATGACTTTAATAAATTCATCTTGCTTTGCCTGGGCCTCAGTGAGGGCATTATCAATGGCCTCTGAGGTCCTTTCAAGCCCTAGGGCAGAGATTCTCCAATTTTTTTGTCTCAAGACCTCTTTACAACTCTTAAAAAACTATTGAGGATCCCAAAAAGCTTTTGTTTATAAGGGTTATATCTATCAATATTCACCACATTAGCAATTAAAACTGATACATTTAAAATATTCATTTAAAAATAACAGACCCATCACATGTTAAAAAAATATTTTTGTGAAAAATAAATTTTCCAAAAAAAAAAGAAAAGTGGCATTGTTTTGCATATTTTTGCAAATATCTTTGAAGTCTGGCTTAAGGGAAGACAACAGGATTCTCCTGTCTGCCTCTGCATTCAGTCTGTCCTGCTTTCAGGAATCTGGTCTAATGCGGGTGACAACATCTGGATAAATGAGCTATATTCAGGATAAAGGAGAAATAATCTCTGTGTCTGCTGCTCTGTCTCTCTGCTGTCTCCTGGTTCCCTCGGTGTCTCTGTCTTCTTGTCTTATCTCTGTCCCTTTCCAGGCTCCCTTTGGGTCTGTCCCTGTCTTGCCCTGTCTCTGGTGCCTGGTTTTTTGCCTTTATCTCTCCAGGTTCCCTCTGTCTCCCAGTCTCTCCATCTGTCTCTGTCTCTGTCTCTGTCTCCTTCTTTCTCCAGCATGACTCTCTGTTATAACTGCATCTGCTCTTTTCTCTGCTCTGCTCTGTCTAGAAGAGGCAGGAGGGTGTTTGTTGATGTCTCTGAGTGCCTGGAGGGGGTATGGATATGCATAGGAAATTGTGTATGTTGAGAGGGGTGAAGAAATTTGGAGAGGATGAGGATGTTAAAAAAAATTTAATTTCTCTCCCCATTTCCTGCTTTGGGGGCAGCTGGGAGGAGCAGTGGATAGACTGCTGGGCCTAGAGTCAGGAAGACTCCTCTTCCTGAGTTCAAATCCAGTCTCAGGCACTTATTAGCTGTGTGACCCTGGACAAGTCACTTCACCCTGTTTGCCTCAGTTTCCTCACCTGTAAAATCAGTTGGAGAAGGAAAGGACAAGCCACTCTTTGCCAAGAGAACTCCAAATGGGGCGGGGCCACAAAGAGTCAGACAAGATTGAAAATGACCAAACAGCAAAAACAACAAAGATCTGTCATTTCTTTCTTGCAAATGTCTCTAGGATTCAGCTGTTTCTCCAGGCCAGAAAATTCCAAAGGAATGGCCCTGCCTCCAGTCTCTTCCCACTCCAAGCAATCCCTTGCAGTGCCATGAAAAAAGCCTGGAAGTTAAGCCCTGGCTTGATAAGCAGTTACATCCCTACTATGTGCTAAGAAGCCCTGGGGATGTAAAGAAAGTAAAAGGCAGTCGCTACCCTGGAGGATCTCACAGTTCAATGGCCGAGACATTGTGAAAACGGTCGCGCAGACAAGTTATAGGCAGGATAAATAGGAAAGAAAAAAGAGAGGGAAGGCACTAGAACTGCAGGGGTCAAAGCTTCCTTCGGAAGGCAGGATTTTAGCTGGGACTTGAAGGAAGCCAGGAGGCCCAGATGAGGAGGGAGAGCGTAAAATAAGGGGCTCGGGAGGCTCCGTGCAGCTCCACATAGAGGATTCTACTGCTTGTATGACCTTGGATAAGTCACATAAAAATGGGATGTGTTCTAAGTGGTCCTTTAGGGACCTAGATCTGATGATTCCTCTGTGTGATTTTGAGTAAATCACCTCAGTTTACTCATCTGTAAAAAGGGTTTGGACTATAGGATTTCAAAGACAAGCTTTCAGCCAGAAAGCTAGGTTCCCACCACACACTGTGAATCGTTCCTTGTAAAATACCACTTTTGCCATATCCTTTCATTCCTGCAAGGACTGTGGCAGATCACCACTGCCCACCAAACCCCTCCACCTTGACATTCAAGGCCTTTTGTGTCCTAGCCCCCATGTGCTTCTTTCAGGTTCTCTCCTGCCCCTCTGCCCAGGTCAGCCAAACAGGTCTCATCACTGAGGTCTGCACACCCCAGGTGATTTCCGGCTTCCTCTCCTGTTCCCCACACCCAGAATCATAGAAAGTCAGAGGGGAAAGGGACCTTATCCACCCCCACCCCCATTTTATAGGTGAGGAAGCTCAAGCCCAGAAAAATTAACTGTTTTGTCAGGAAGGGGGCAGGTAGCAGAATCAGAATTCAAACCCAGCCCTTTTGACTCACAAAATCGACATTTTTCTGGTCTCGGACTTATCTATCTCTTCCTGAAACTGAGCCCTCCAGGTACCCTTGTTAGAGAACCAGTCCAGACTTGGGTGTTTTTCCTTTACTACCCACCCTTGCTTTTGCCCTTATCCTTCAAGGGAAGGACTTGGATGTCCATGGAAGGGAGTGGTGACCCAAAGAACAGCCTGGCTTCATGGAGAACAGGTCAGGCCAGACTGACCTCATTGGCTTTTTCCGTCAGGGTTACTAGACTTGCCAGTCTAGAGCAGGGGAATACTTAGACACGGTTTTTACCTAGATTTGTAGGGAAGCATTTGGCAAAGTCTCTCCCATTACCCTTCTAGAAAAGTTGAAGAAGCGTGGGCTAGACAAGATGGGAGAGTTAAGTGGATTCAGAACTGGTTGAATGGTCCCCCTCCCCAAAGAACAGTCCCTAATTAACTTGATGTACTCTCTGCAGATCTCTGCTGGAGGGCCCTAAGGGGCATAGATTTAAAACAAAAAGGGACCTCAGAGACCATCTATCTCATTTTACAGAGGAGGAAACTGAGGCATAGAGACACTGTGACTTGCCCAGGGTCACAGAGCTAGTAAGCATCTGAGGTATGATTTGAGCTCAGGTCTTCCTGACTCCAGGCCTGGGTCGCTAGCCTGACTAGCCGCCTGAAGGAAGAGTTCGGAGAGTGAAGGCTAGGGCCAGGAATTAGCTAAACTTTGAATCTGCCTAGAGCCCTGCGCATTGCTTTGCACGCATTAGGCTGCTTCCTAGATGGTTGCCAAATGAATGAGTGAATGAATAAAGGTTTTGATGGCATATGAGTCATGGGTATTCCATGAGAACAGTAACATCCTCATGGAATCCTGGCTGTTTCGAGAGAGGCCCAGAGTGGCCAGCACCAGGGAGGCCACAGTCCCGCTGACTCTTCCATCAGACCACATTGGGGCGGCCGTGTTCAGCTCTGGGAGTCTCGTGTTAGGAGATGGGTTGGTGTGGGGCCATGAGTCAGAGGATTTAGGCAGGCTGGATGGGGAAGGAGGGATCACCTGAGAAATAGGTGATGGAACTGAGCGGGCTTGGCTTAGTCAAGAAAAGGGTTGGGGGAGACCTGAGGAATCTCTTCACGGTCTGGATGGCGGTCATTTTTGAGAGGGGCCAGACCTGGGAGGACCCGAAGGGCCAGATTCCATCTTGTGAGGACAGCCACCTTAACAGTCTGAGCCGAGGTGTCCCACAAGCAGGACAGGCAGAGGCCTTCAGCAGGGTGGCACTGGTCAGGGATGTTGGCCTGGGCATTCATGGGCACCGGGGTGGGAGTAGGGAGCTTCCATGGCCAGGGGGGTGATACGTCTTGTTACATCAACACCATTTCCAGGTGAACCCCCAGATTCTGCCCCCCTCCCCCATCGAGTGTTTCCCTGTGTCAGAAAAAAGAACAAATAATTGAACTCTGAACCCTGTGAGGCTGTCGGCCAGCCTTGGTCCTGGGCTGAGCTCTGAGCTTCTGCCTGGGCGGCCCTGGTAAATCCCTGAGCCTCAGTTTCCCCACCTGTAAAATGTGGGGGTGGACTCCATCTCCTCTGAGGTCCTTTCTAGCTCCAAATATGTTCCTTCTTGCCCCTCCCACATGGCCTCACTCATTCTCAGGGCTATCAGAGACAGTCATAACCAAGGGCTAAGGTCCCTGTGTGTTCCTCCCTGTGACACACCCATGCCTCCCATTCTCTCAGCAAGCTCCCTGTGGCTTGGCCTCCCGAAGGCCTGTAATGACTGTAGGCACAGACCCGTGAGCTGGCCACCTGTGTCCTGTCACTAAAGGGCTCTCGGAAGGCCCCTCTCTCCTAAATCTCTTCCTGCACCGGGGCCTAAAATTCCACCATTATAGCTTCATTCCTTTAGCTAAAGCACATCCGTTTACAGGCTCCTCTATAAAAATCTGCCACCTGCTACCACATTCCAGCTTCCACAGCCCAAGGTTAAGTAGGTTGACCAGAAGCTCCTTTCCTTGGGTATGAAATTGCTTGCATTCTCAATGGGTGAGAGAGGGGCTGGAGAGGAGAGAATCTGGGGACTCAGAATTTAAAAACAATTCTTTTCCAAATTTTCCCTTCCTAGAGAGCAGGACCTGGGCAGGAGCTCAGGAAGGCTTGAGCTGGAGAGAGGCGTGCCTCCCTGCAGTCACCTAGAGCTTGGCCCCCGCCGAGCCAGCCAGGCAGGTTCCCCCAGTTCTGGGATCTGGCTCCCCGCCCCGGCTGACCCCGCTGCCCTCTCCCTCATCCTCATCTGGAGGAGTCCAGAATCCTTAGCTCCCTCCCCTGCCAGGGCTGCCCAGTCCACAAGGTGAGGTGGGATGGGCCAGGGCACAAACAGGTCCACCCACCAACTCCAGGCCCTGGGGCTGGGGATGACTCCGGGACAGGGTGGCAGAGAAGGAAGAGGCCTATACATGGCTCCAGGAAGGCCAGGGTTCAGCTCCAGCCTCTGATGCTTGCTCCATGCGCTGCCCTGGACAAGACGCTTTACGCCATAAGCCCCAGGCTTCTCCACTGGGCAATGGAGATGACACCTGAGCTTCGCAGCTCGCCGGGTGGTTGTGAAGGTCACATGAGATCATCGCTGCAGAGTGTGACCAAAATGCTATTTTTAACAGCTCTCGTGTTATTATCTCCTGATACCTAAGACACACTTAGGATGACAGCTCACACTTGAGACAAAGGAGACAGCCCTGGGAGGGAGATGGACAAATGCTATTCTTCCCATTTTAAAGCTGACAAACTGAGGCTCAGATTTGCCCTGATACACCTAGTAGGAAAGGTCAGGCACGGGATTGGAATGCAGACCTCCGGGCCCCAGGACTGGCACTCAAAGTGGCTCATACAGAGTGCCGCCCTGCCAGGGCCCTGCCCAACGTGTCATCCTAGCAGGACCCACCTGGGCAGAGAGCAGAAACTGAAGGGGCCTCTGAGAGCCAATCATTCCACAGGGACACTCCCAACTCTGCATTTATTATGTGGCCCTAATGTCAGCCTTGACTCGGACCCCAGGCTTTTCCTCGAGCTCTTAACGCTGACCCTAACACATAACACAGATTCTAACACCGCTATGTGGACCTAGGGAGGTAGTATGCTATCATGGAGAGAGGGCTGGGAGACACATTGGCTCTGGTGTCAGAAGAGCTGGGTTCAAATCCTACCTGACTCTTACTAGCCATGTGACCCTGGGCAAGTCCCAGGGCTTGGCATAGTGCCTGGCACATGGTAGGCGCTAAGTAATGCTTATTGAATCCTTATTAAACTTGACTTCTGTTGGCATCAGTTTCCTCTTCCACGAAATGGGGATAATAACAGCATCTACCTCCCACGGCTGTTGTGAGGGTTGAATGAAGTAATATCTGTAAGGCGCCAGGTAGGCAGTAGGCGCTACATAAATGTCAGTTAGTATCATTCTGAGACACTTCTCGCCCCCAGCCCTGTGTCCATACGCTTCGGACTACATGAACGAATTTTCTAGGATTTACTTTTTAATGTTGTAACAAATGTCCCAACTGTCAACAAAAACAGTTAAAACATACAAACTAGGGACAAAAATCTTACCTTGCCAAAAAAAAAGAAAAAAAGAAAAAGAGGGAACCAAGCAGGCTAAAAAACAACAAATAAGCAAAGAAAACGTTCTTGTTCCATGTCCTCTTCTAGGTCTGCGGAAAGTTCCAGAATTTCTGCCAGCTTTGGCCCTGTTTTATGATTTATTGACAAAGGAGAGGAGACGGCAGGCTCCCCCAGCAGGAAGAGGGCCCTCCCGTCCAGAGCACTGAAAAGCACACTCTGGGCACGCTCAGCCTGGGGAGCTCGGACTTCTTCTGTCTGGGCATGATGTGAATGCGGCTGGAGCTGGTAAAGTGCACGGTGCCCAGAAGAAGCCACCCAAGACGGTGGAGAGCCCCAAGCCCGGACCACATGAGGATGGGTAGGTGCTTAAAAAAACTAGGGAGGGTGAAGCTGGAGAAGACAAACGTCCAGGACCATGTTCACATTCGCCAAGCATCTGCGGGCTTTCGTCTCCAACATGACTGAACTTTTCTGGTCGGTCCCCTGCTCCGGAGGAATGGGGAGGAATTTCAGAAAGAGATTTAGGTTTGACGTCAAAGCAAAAGTTCCCCCAGTCCCAGCTGTCCCAGAGTGGAATGGGCTGTCCTGGGAGGCGGTAGGCTCCCCTCACCGGGGGTCTTCAAACCAAGGCAGATTGACCTTGTGTGGGCACGTTCTGGAGGGAATTCCAACTTCCAGCCCTGGGTAATCTCTTACAACTCCAATATACTGTGATCTTGTTAATACATCCATGATTTCCTCCTGGGGGAGCTCCTTCGACCTATATGTGTGGCAATCCTCAATAACTTAAAGAATAAGTCCTAGAGACTTGCCCGAGGCTCATTTGAAGGAATTTGCCCAATATGTCAAGGACTTCTGATATCCTCTTTATGGGACATTGGGTGTGGAAATTCCCCTTGACATGCCTAGAATTTAGAGTCTTAAAGAGCCACCAAACATTTACTGATAACAAATCATAAGGAAATTTATTTTAAAACAATTCTTTGGTGTATATACAATTTTACCATTTATTAAAGACGAAAGCAAATTTGCCTACTAATGAGATAGATGTGCTTGTTTATTTTTACATAACAAACGAAATCTTGGCAGAATATTTGATACTGCAGGATGATGAGCATCTTCAACGTTTTTTCAGAGTTAATTGATATTTTGATTTTATAATCAGAAGTGCTGAGAAGGCCACATCACATAAATACATGGTACAAAATGGCAGAAGTATGTTTAGGGCCATGTCAGAAATTGTTGGAAATTCTGTCCTAATCCCAAGCCAAATTTCATTTAATGATTTTTTTCAGGAAACTGAGGTTTTAAACCTGTGTGTTTTGATAACTTGGCAAATTCTTCTTGAACTTTTAATGGCAGATGACTGATGTTTTTTTTTATTTCAATTGAGTATGGTTTATCAACCCAACTTAGTTTTTTAGAATCAAAATTTGAAGGGAAGTATTTCTGAAACTGTGTCTCCAGGCACTTCAGATGATCAATTATAACTCTTATAATTAAATCTTTGGGAAAGTTATTTTCAATTATAAAATCATCCATAGCTGTACATATTTGTAAAGAACCATTTTCCACCCTATTCTTCCATGTTAACTTTTTTAGTAAAACTTCCAATTTTATCTTTTAACATAAATATGTTACAATTTTTTCCCCTGAAGCAACATGTTTAAATCATTGAGTTTTTCAGAACTATCTGACAATGGTTTTGAGAGGCATAAGTCATTATGACAAAAATTAACAAAATCGGATTTCTGCCCAGTCAAAAATATAACAACTTCAACTTTCAATTTCAAAAATCAGTTTAAACTTCACCCTCTTGAGAGGCTACATGATTCAACATCTGTCTAAATTTAGCCACTTATCCATAACTGAAAAATAATTTTGTCCTAAGATATAAATAAATGTTGCTAATAATTTCTCAAGTAAATACTAGCTTTAGTTTGTGAAATTACATTTGTTTGTGCTTAATTTTTTAAATTTGTACCCTTATATACACATACAGTGGTGATGGTGGAAAAATATTACTAAAGGGCTTTTGTCTTGCTGCAATTAAAGACATGTTTCTGTAAAAGATTTTAAAAATCAAACATTCTAACACAATATAATTTAAAGATATGCTAATTTGAAACTTACATACTGAGGAATGTGGGTAGGAAAATATTGAAAGTCTTTATTTTCCACAATTAAACTATTATATTTCTATAAGAGCAGAAGACTTTGTATGTACAATAAAAACGCTGCAATTCATAACATACAATAGTCTCGAATCCGAGCCGAGGTGTTTTTGGCAGTGTTTAATGGTGTTGTGTGGCATGACGGGATGTACAGTGCAAAGTGCATGTGTTGTGTGTTCAGAACTGAGGCTGCAGTGAAGTCGCCCAATGCAACATGGACGAGCATTGCCAGAAACACCTCAGATTCATTAAGCGTTTGATTTTCAATTAATTTTTGGTCGTTGCACATTCAGAAACCTTTCACTGTTGCCAAATTTTTCACAACCCTCACATTCAGTTATGTGACACCCTATGGGGTAGTGACCCACAGTTTTAGCGGCAGCGCTGCTTTAAAACCATCCCTTCAGCAAGTCCCATTGTAGTACGAATACATGTCCACATTATTCAGATAAAACAATAACTCAAAACACGTCTCCCAATGAGACAGATAAAAATCGTCTCCCAGAGACTGACATCAAACTCAGCGCCCCCATTCCTGCATAGGGGGAGGACCCTCTTTCCCCATCATATCTCATGCTATACCTCACATAAAATTTGCTTAAATCTGATCATCTCAAGTAATCAAATAAATCCAATTAGAATGATATGAATTCTCAGTCTTTATTCCACCAAAACTTGTAATTTACCAAATCCACATTTAGCAAAGTTTTACCTGGAAAGAATTCCAATTAATAACAATCAGAATGCCAGCTATAGGCACTAGCCCCTCATCAAGTCCCATTCTCACATTTTGAAAGAAGGTTCAGATCCCCCTTGATTTCCTGTATAATACCTGTTACAATAAACTCGTTTTTAGCCTTGGGACAATATAATTTCCTCCCCCAGCAAGTCCACGTGATTTCCTTCTTTGTTTCTTTAGAGAGTTCATATTAAAGAAAACCACAATCACAATGGCTCTGAGCCACCATATGGGAAAATTCCTAACATTTAGATAGACCTCTGTGCCTTCATTTCCATTTGTCTCTAGCTGTCCTCTTTATAGGTGAGGTGAAGTTGGGTCACATTTAGGTACAGAAGCTGAGTCTGTTAATAGGCACCAGGAGGGGAAGCTGAGGAGAAAGCTGACTTTTTCTTGGAATTTCCCTAGGTCTTGGAGGAGGTAGCACCAGTCGGAGCCAGCTGCTCTGAGATGCCCTGTAGGCCTGTAGGGTCCTTCCTGACCTTTCCCTTCTCAGTCCTACTTCCTCTTTTGTCCTACACTCATCCCCTACTGCTGATTCTTTCCAGTCACTGATATCTCCAGCCCTTCCTCTCTACTGCTGGACCCTAGACATCTCTCCAGGTGTGAGAAAGCTCTTCATTTTTTACAAACTCCTTGGGACATGACCACGGCTTCCAGTCAATAGAAGCAGGTGTTGAAGCATAGCTTTAGAACTGGAAGGGGCCTTAGAGGACATCTAGTCCAATACCTTCATTTTACAGACAGGAAACTAATGTTTATAGATACTAAGTGACTTCCCATGGTCACACAGTAAGCTTCAGAGGCAAGACTGAAACCCATGTCTGCCCCACTTCAAATCTAGCATGGTCCTCTTGGAGAGCCAACGTCATCATCTATAAAGCCTGAGCCTTTTTCTTGTAATACCCCCAACCAGCTCCCCTAGTGCTATGCCCCCCTTACATTCTGCACCAGAACATTTGGACCCCCCTCCCCATGTCCAAAGGCCTTCTCCACCGGACAGACCTACGATGAGTTGTCATGAGGACCCTTTTCCTCTTACTTATGGAGCGTCTTCCCAGGAACATAGACAATTACTGTCAATTCCCTCAAATCATCCCACTCAAAAAGTGTTTTTATATGTAACTGGGGAAGAAACATAAAAATGAAATCATCCCACTCAGACTCCTAGGTATTTATAGGACTTGATGAAAAATCACAGGAATAAAACTCCCCAGATTTGGAGCCAAATGCTGGCCTTAAAAGTTCCATTTGATTCCCTTAATACTCAGCTCAAATACCACCAGGCCCTCTTCCCAAATGCTCGGGCTTCCCCAGAAATTACAAAGCTAATTTGGAGTAGACTTGCGGACATGTTGTCTCTCCCAATAGAAGCCTGTTGAGGACAGGGAATGGGCACTAGATAAATGTTGGATTGACTTCTTGGTTGGTCAGGTCTGCGCACAGAAACTACTACCCAGTGGAACAGAAGCCCCTTGAGGGAAGGAGCTTCCACACTCTGGCATGTGGATGCATAGCACCTACTGCTGCGTGGGCAAGAAGAGAGCACTTAATAAGGTGTTATCCCCCAAGCCCATGTTCTGGTCATGGCCTTCCTCTAGTGAATAATAATAATAATAATAATAATAACAACTAGCATTTATTTAGATCTTTTTAAGGTATGCAAAGTGCTTTGCAAATATGATCTCATTTGATCCTCATGACAACCTTGGGAGGTAGGTGCTATGATTATCCCCATTTTACAGAAGAGGGAACTGAGGCAGCAAGAGGTTAACACAGGGTCACACAACTAAAGAGTGTCTGAAAAAGAATTTTAATTCAGGTCTTCCTGACTCCAAGTCTCCACTTTTTAGCCACTGTGTTAAGCAGCTAGTGCCTGACCTCATGGAGTTTACATTCTACTAGAGTCAGAGTAGAGGGAGGAGTTACAGAGAAAAGAATAAAAATGCAAAATATTTTGTGAGAGGAAGGCCCAACCAGGGAAGGCCACCTGTAGGAGGGCTTCCTGGACCTGAGCAGAAGCCAGGGATGCTGGGAGGCAGAGGTAAGGCTGGAGCATTCACCCAGAGGTAGGAGATGTAAGGCAATCCATTCTCGGGTAGCAGAAATAAGTTCACACTGGCTTGTAGTGTAGATCTGGGGTGTGGATGGATTGAGCAGAAGTCACAGGCAACGAGGCTGGAAAGACTGATGGAGCAGACTGAGGACTTTAAAGCTAAGCGAAGGCATTTGACTTTAGCTGAGCGGTAAGGGGGGAGCTGTAGAAGCCTTTGGAGCAGGAGAGGGGAGCATCTCCAAATCCCGAGCTCCGCCTGCCACATCCTTGCTGACCCAGTTTCCTTTCCTGGCAGATTAGGATTCAAACAGGTATAAAGTCTCAAGGCCTGAAATGGAAGAGATGTGTTTATGGAGGGTAGGGGTCCAGGGAAGCCGTTCTGCCCCTAAGAACCAGGCCTGGCAGGTGGCTGCTTGCTCAGCAGTGTCACAAAGCTGTCCCTGGGAAGGCATCTGCATCTCCTGCCCCTTATCAGCCCAGCTGGCCAGCTAGGGGCAGGAAGGCCTGACTTCCTCCTGGATCCCAGAGATAACCTGCCAGCAGCAGCTAGGCTCAAGAACATGGTTTTTTGCAAATGCAAAAGCAGAAGGTCATGGGGCCTTCTGCTCTTCACCCCTGTGAGGGTGGGGAGGGGAGGGGGGATAGGGAGGGGGAGGGGAGGAGGCCAACAGTCTAGTATGGACTAGATGCTACAAAGTTCCAACCTCTAATCCTGGGATCTCAGAACAGAGGCCCAGCCTCCTGGCCTTCGATCCCAATTTCCCCTGGAGGGAGCCTCCTCCTGGGCCACACCTTCTGAGGTGAGCCCTAACAGCCCTACCCCTCGGGCATTCCAGTACCACAAAACTTTCCTCCTTCCAGGGAGGCTGAGCCACTCACCTGGGGGGTGGGCAGAGGGGGCAGGACTACCCGGGCCTAGCTGTATCAGGCCTGGAGCCTTGATGCTCTCTGGGCCCCAGGCCTCCACTCCTTGGCCCCTGAAGGGTCCAGACGCTCAGCCCCATGCCAGCACAGCCTCCCAGGAATCGGCATTGTCAGAATGTCCCAGATCTAGGAAGGCACGGACGCCAGCT